GTAGCCATCAATTCGTAGTTCACAGAGAAATCTCTGCCTATGCTTGGGTCCTGAAATAAAAAAAAAATACTAAAATGGGGAATTTAGCATATTTGGATAATATATTGTGTGGGCCTAGTACATAGATTTATGCAATCACCACACTACTAAATGCATTATTTCACTGTAGTCTCTAGGAAGTGAGGAGAACATTATGAGCTGCACTTGTGTACTTAAAATTACTGCTTCACAAATGATTAGCATAAATATCAACTTGTGTCAAACATTTGCAGTTCTGTATAATCTGTATTAGTTATCTGACACCTTTAATGTGTACAAGAAGCAGTATTATCTTTATTATTATTGCAAAAGTAAGATTTGGGGAAAAAAATTCTATGTGCAAATTTTAGGTTATTCAATAAACAAGTATCTGAAATGTTTTTTAAAGTGTAAAGATTTATCATAAACATTATGTAATTAAAAATTTACAATTTAGTATTATGTTTCCTGCACAAAGTCATTAATGCTCTTATATATTTTCCTCAGTTGTTATCCCTAATTATTCTTAAAGTAGCTGGTAGAAACAACAGACAATCAGAAATCTTTTCAGTACCATTTCACCCATCGAGCAATAAGACAAAAGAGGGAATGTAAAGGTAGTGGGGGTAAACATATTGATAGACAGGAAGTGCTATTTTGAGAGGCCACTTTAAACAAAGAAAGAGAATCTCTTTCCTTGTTTAAGAAATCAAATTTAGTTGGGTTATGTTATTGTTTGTCAAAACTGTCACATGAAAGCTTATTTATATTTTCTATTGAAGTTTTTTAACAATTGTTTAACATTTTAGACTATTATCGTTATTAATTAATTAAAACTTTATTGTGTTCTAGTGTTAAAAAAAGTATTTTAATAAATAATTTTAATAAATAAATAGATAAATATATAATATAAAAAATTATGTAATATAAAATAAATAAATAGATAAATTAGAACCCCTACACCACTGTATGATTATTGTCAAGTGTCATGAAATTTAAATTTGGCGCATTTGCATTTCCGGATATGTCCGCCATCAGAGGCCACTTTTTTGGTCTCCTTTTCATAACGATTAGATTGCCTCTTTTGTCTTATTGCTCGATGATTTCACCACACTAATTATGGTATCAATAAACCAACTACACGATTGGTAAGGAGTGCTAATAGCCTGCCAAGACAAATAAATATTTTTGACTCCAAAATTAGTTTGGGACCCATGAAGAAGTGCATGATCATAACACTAGATACATGTGTGATCTTGTTCCAGCCTACTAGAGGCTAAAGAGGTGTCAAACTGGATCAGGGTATTGGATGATTAAATTTTTTTACAAATCAATGTCAATACTAGTCTACCCTTGATAACTGTATTAAAGTTTGATATAGTTTATTGAGATCTTTGATATTTTAAGAATTTATTGTTGTTGACTAGCTTTGTTAAAACTTTTGTAAATGGATTCCCTTAATAAATAAATAAAGATTCATCATCATCTTTGGTTTGACAATCGTCTGTGGATTCTGGCCTGCTCTAAGATGCATCACCATTCTGTTCAGTTTCTGGCAAATTTTTGCTATCTTCTGATTTCTAGTATCCCTAGTTGGTTTCAACTCCATCTAACCACCTAGTTTGCAGTCAGCCTCTGCTTCTTCTTCCTATAGGTGTTCTTATTATTAGCTTTTTAGCAATCATATTGTCAGAGAATCTTATTATGTGTCTAGCCCATCTAATTCACTGTGTTTTAATGAATGTTATGACATCTGGTTCATTAAACAGTTTGTTTTTGAGCCACTGCCTTGATCACTTATAGCTCGAAATATTTTGTGGTATATCAAATGCTTGAATATTCCCAGAAGTATTTCGTCCTTCTGCATTAGAGTCTATATTTCCATTCCATATGTAAGGACAGGTCTCAATAGTGTTTTGTATATAATAAGTAGTTTTAGTTTTTTTTTTTTTAGATATTTCTTGAGTGGATTTGTTTTTGGAGTCCTTAGTAAAGTTTATCCATCTTTTGATTTCTTCATTTGTTTTGTTGGTAGTAGTCACTAGTGAACCAAGGTATGTGAAGCATACACTTTCAAAGAATATGACAAGATTGTTTTCTGTTCCTCATACGTAAATATTAAACAAGCATATTTTACTGACCGAATTTATAATTGTCCAATTATTGTCATAAAATCTGTAGAAAATTTAGAGATTATGAATTTGGTCTTTCGTCATTGATTGAAAATCATATAACACTGTATTACCTACAGATTCACTAACTAAAACCAAAGTGCATCTACATTCATTGCCAAAACATTGTATAGAATTTTTCAAGGGCCCTGGATTTATTCCTTTATTTTCCATAACTGTTCTAGGGCTATTCATGTGCAGTAAAGAAATTAATGTGTTTACAGGTTATAGATATAATAATTTCTTTACAAATTTACAGTATAGTCCAGTATAATTAGTACAGTCCTTAAGAATAAACAAATACAGCTAACATACCACTAACATTAAAGCTTCCAGGAGTATTTTCAGAGGAGTGCATCTGCATCTACACATACTACTAACCAATGTAAAGTATATAACTATAGGTTAATGTACTTTTTGTTCAGATATGGGGGTGCAGATGCACCCCCTTGCACCCTGCTGCTCATGTCCGTAAGAATTGAAAAATAAAAAAATAGATAAAAGTAATCCAAAATGTTTAGTACTAGTTGGTTCTATAGTGAGTCATTTGTCCATGAATGGCTATCTCTTTTTATGTATATGATAATAAGAGATATTCAAAATGTTTAGAGTTTAATAGTAGTTGCAAATAATACAGACGCATAGCGTCTATATTCTTAGGTAGTTGGTTCAATAGCGAGTCATTTGTCCATTAATGACTGTCTCTATTTTATGTATCTCATTTCTTTGTGTAAACAGTTGTCCTTACAAACCTACTGCTCCCAATATAAGTTTAAAAGTATCTATAGAATAAGATTACAGTAAAATAAATCAATACAACTCACCTGTGGGCCTCACTTCATAAAGGGGTTCTACTTTATTCTTCTGACACCATTGGTTTAGAAATGATTTTACATCCATGGTGAATTCAAAATAGATTTACCACGCGTATAAATATTTTATTCTTATTTCGTAAGTACTTTTTATTCCTGTTTAAAAGAAAAAATAGATTTTTTTCTATATTTCTCTTACCAAGCTAAATCCCGGCGTGTCAGACAGGAATTGACTTGTGACAGGTGACACGTGACACGACAGTTGACAACAACGACAGTCCCAGTATTAAACAGAGATAGAGAACTGTTTCATTTCTCTGGTCGCAGTCACGGTTCGTAGACCAATGACGTATAATATATAGACTACGCAGTCCCCTATTCTCGCTATAGAATCGAGTGTCCGAAAGATCTCGGCTCAAGGTTGAAGGTATGTTTATTAGAACAACGGCGTGCTCATTTATATGTTAATGACAATAATTATTTTTTTAATTAAAATTAAATATTTATGATTTCTTTTTGTTCCCCTCTATAAGAGAAATAATTATTTTGATAAAATAGTATGGCATTTTACTAAAATAATAAGTAAATAACTATCAACAATTTAAAATAAAATTTGCTTGTCACACAAAATGGAGTACGTCCATGATGTTTTCAAACACAAGATCAACTTCGTGATGCTTCGTAAGAAATCATGAACTTCGTGCATCTTCGTATCAAAACAATAAACAATAACAAAGGTATTCATGTTTTGGACACTTTTTAAAGCGTTCACCGCAGTGTTGCTATATGTACGATAATTATCGATTTTGTACGATAATTTCATAAATGTACGATGTACGATACTAGGTATGCGATAATGTAGACTTTGTACGATAATTTCGTCATATTAAAATTTAGGCAAAAAATCAATCCTAAAATGATTTTTTTACGATTTTAACGGTCATTGGATATTGTGCTAACGTAAAGTAATTGAATATTTTTGTACTATAACAACTAAAAACCCTTATATCATATATAAATAAATTTATTTATATGATCTTAGTAAAAGCCGAATCAAAATCTGATCGCCATCTATGGTCTGTAAAATCAATTTGTAACATTCTGCTTTAATTATCATGTCCGATCTGAGATGGCGGTAATCTGATCGTATTTTTCACTGAATAAAAGTTGTGGAGATTACCATATTCCCTTATTTCTGGTTTTTCGATCTGGTATTCCATAGTAAATACTTGGGGGTAATATATAATACCTGTTCCGACGTTTTTCACAGTTGGTCACAGTGAAGATAGCCTCAAATGGATTTGACAGAATGAAATATTTGTGTTTAGCAGTGTTGAAATTCACATTACAAATGTAACATACGCAATCAAAAGCAATAAGATATTTAAAAACTAATACTTTACAATTACCAAAAAAAGAAAAAGTAAATAGTTTTAAAATTTTTTTAAAAGTAAATAGTAAAATGTCAGTATAAATAATACAGTTAAAAAGATATCTGTTGGTAATCTGGCAACTGGTGCCACTGTTGGTTTGAGGGTTCTAGGTTTCTGACTCTATTGCCAAATCTATCCGTTAACCTAGCAAAGGACAATTATTGCCGCCACTAATAATTAATTGCAATTAATATCAAACGAAACGAATATTAATTCATTAATTTTTTATATAAGATATAAAACTGCAGAATCCATAAAATAATATAATCAAAATGTACATTTTAAAAGCTTTATTTCTTTGTATTTCAAGCGTATAAAATATACGTTATAAGGACATGGCAACACTGCCAACGCAAAATTTCGTTCTGTGAAACATAATTGACAGCTACATTTGAGGCATCTTCACTGGGATCAAATGTGAAAAACGTTGTTAAACGTTCTACTTGTTTGTATCTACGATACTCGTGTTGTGTTAGTTTGTGTTTATAACTTGATTGCTCATATTTGCAAAACATTTGATTTAAGCTTACTAGTTAAATAGAAGTATTTAAACTAAGGTTTTAAGCATGTCGGATTGTGATTCGGAATCTGAGAAGAGGAGTTCAACGCCTGAATATAAAAAGTTTAAACGGGGCGAGAGTTCTAAAAAACTTACTCACCGAAAACAGAAATACCGTGTAGAATGGGAACAAGACTCTAAGTTTAAAGGTTGGATCACAAATAGTAATGGTAAATAATTGCAGGTAATATTTGACTTTTATATCTAAAATATTTTATATTTACTTCCAGACACTACAAAGGCTCGTTGCCGCGCTTGCAATGTAGAATTCACTGCCGAAATCACTGTAATTAAAAATCATGCGAAGTCCTTGAAACATGCCCTAAAAGTGAAAAGTTTGCCAAATACAACAATTACATCTATGTTTAATAAGCCTGAGAGCTCTGTTCAAACTCAGAGTAAAATTGCCGAAATAAAATTTACAGGATTTATGACGGAACATAATGTTTCATTTAATTCAGCTGATCATTTAACAAATCTGATTAAAAATTGTTTTCCTGATTCTAAGATTGCCCAGAATATGTCACTAGGAAGATTCAAAGCTACACAAATATCAAAAAATGTAATCGGTGCTTGTGCGGAGGAAGAAATTGTTTCGTATTTAAAGTGCTCAAAATTTAGTTTGATAATTGATGAATCTACAGACATTTCTTCTGTCAAAACTTTGTGTATTTGTGTACGTTTTTTTCATCCGAAAACCTGTAAAATTGATACTCTTTTTTGGAAGCTTATACAAATTTTTTCCGACGACGAACCTGAGAAAGCAAAGGAAGGAGCTACTAGCCAGAGGTTATATGAAGAAATAATTAAAATCTTATCAAAAAATAATATACCTCTTCAAAACATGATAGGTTTTGCATCAGATGGCTGCAACACTATGTTTGGTAGTAAAAACTCCGTAGCAAGCAAATTGGCCAACGACATTCCAGGGTTAATGCTACAAAAATGTACGTGTCACTCTTTGCATTTATGTGCGAGTGAAGCATGCAAAAAATTACCACGAAGATGTGAAGATTTGGCCAGAAATATTTACGGGTTTTTTAAAAATAGTGCTAAACGACAGGCCATGTTTAAAGAATTTCAGGACTTTTGTAACACTGAGCCACATAAGATTCTCAGACCAGCGCAAACTAGATGGTTATCATTATTACAAGTAGTTAAACGAATCTTAGAACAGTGGGAACCTCTAAAATTATTTTTTACTTCTAATTATTTAGAGCATCGGCTTATAGCCAGCGAAGAAATATATATTGCTCTTAATAAGCAAGAGATTAAATTATTTTATTTTTTTTTGGAATGGGTACTTCCTAAATTTGTTGAATTAAACAAATACTTTCAAAGTGAAAAGGTAGTCATTTCATATTTACATGATAGGATGGTTATGTGTTTTAAAGATTTATTATCCGCTTTTATGGATCCAAATTATATCAATAGGACACCCCTTGGTAAAATTAATCCAACTGATAACACACACTTTCTCCTGATTACAAACATGTATCTGGGCATTGGAGTTCTTAACAATATTGATTCTGTAGAACAGGCGACAAAACTAGATTTTCTTGAACGCTGTCGTGATTTTTTAATTACTGCTTGTCTGCAGATTCAGAAACGTTATAACTTCGAAGATCCTGTCTTAAGTCAACTTTCCATTTTAAATATAAATAATATCAAAAAAGGAACTGGAACTACACTTTTGCCGTTAATGAAATCTCTACCCCAAATTTGTGACCTCCAAAATACTAGCCAAATTCAAAAAATTGACGATCAGTGGAGAAAATTAAGTCATTTCGAGGATTTACCAGAATCTACAGAAATAGATGTTTTTTTTGCTAACCTACGTCAAGTAACTGACTTTAGCGGCGAATTTATATTCCCCGATTTATGTAATTTTGTTTTGAGTGTTCTTTCACTCCCACATTCCAGTGCCAGTTGTGAAAGACAATTTTCAAAAGTAAATTTGATTAAAACAAAATCAAGGAATCGAATGATAACAGATACGCTAAATGGACATATATTATCATCGCAACAACTACAAAAAGACTGCGCAAATTTTAAACCTGACAATAAAATGTTAAGAAACATGATGTCCGACAAACTCTACCAGGCCGGGACTGCTGCAGGGAAGGAAAATCCAGAACAATCGGATGATATCATTTTTGAAGATTTATAATAATTTTTTGTTTTTATCTCTAATAAAATGTAAGCATTTTTAATGTACTTTGTTCAAATTTGAAGAGCCATCTATGAGGTAAACCAAGAGATAACACTCAGTGAATAAATGAAATCTAAACTATATTCTATTGGTTTTATTATATTCAGCAACATCTAAAAATTCATTTTGGAAAGTTAAATTAAAAACTGTAAAACTTTACTTATTGTGTAAAGCACCCTTAATACAGCATTTTTTGTATATTTAAGGCTATATTTTTTATGGTTTTTGTCCTTTAAAAGAAAAAAATTATATTTTATGTTTAAAAAAATATTTTTACTCAAGATAAATTCCAAAATTTTTCTGTTAGCCTTCCAAATTCAAAATTTGTTCATAAATTAGGTATGTTAAATATTTTTTTCAAATATTGATATATTGTACGATAATGTACGATAATTTTGAACGGTTCATGCGATAATTCTCAGTTTGACATCTAGCAACACTGTCACCGAGTCTATATATTATACGTCATTGTCGTAGACTTACTCTGTCTAGGAACCGTGGGTCGTAGTATGTACCAATGACGTATTATATAGACTCGGTGAACGCTTTAAAAAGTGTCCAAAACATGAATACCTTTGTTATTGTTTATTGTTTTGATACGAAGATTCACGAAGTTCATGATTTCTTACGAAGCATCACGAAGTTGATCTTGTGTTTGAAAACATCATGGACGTATGAAAACATTTTCTCCATTTTGTGTGACAAGCAAATTTTATTTTAAATTGTTGAGAGTTATTTACTTACTATTTTAGTAAAATGCCATACTATTTTATCAATATAATTAGTTCTCTTATAGACGGGAGCAAAAAGAAATCATACATATTTAATTTTAATTAAAAAAAAAATTATTGTCATTAAACATATAAATGAACACGCCGCTGTTGTGATAAACATACCTTCAACCTTGAGCCGAGATCTTTCGGACACTCGATTCTATAGCACCGAACTCTATAGCGAGAATAGGGGACTGCGTAGTCTATATATTATACGTCATTGGTATGTACTATGATAATAATAAACAATCAGAATGCTCACCCTGCTTGTCAAGGTTTAAGCTGGATTTATAGTTTGACGTACTGTAGACGTAGACGCACTGGAGACGTAAGAAACGGACTGTAAATATTTTTTCAATTTATAAATGGACGTAGTGGAATTTTTGCGCATGAGTAAAGACAAGAATTGGTGACCCACAACATTCAATATAACCTATAAATTATACAATTATAGGAATCAGAATTCATAATAAACAAAGGGTGTGTGTTTATTATAATATTTTTTTTAACTTTTTTTGCGTGTTAGAATGGATTGTCAAATATACGAAGGTATGCTCCTTGGCGCTGTAGGATTGCTGCTGTGCTGTGTGCAAAAAAAAACTAGAAGGACAATAATAAGGCGACCAAGACGTTATAAAATAAGACCAATAAACCGTAATAGAAAAATAGAGAATGCTTATAATTATTTTTTAAAGATGAAGACAGAAGATCCAGATCAATGTTTGGCATATTTCAATATTGGTGCAATGAACATAACCCATTCTTTCTTTTGATTGGTCAGACGTAAGAAACGCACTGTAAAAGTTGAAAGTTGACCAACTCTTCCGTTACAGTGCGTTTCGCTTACGTCCCGTCTTGCGTTTACGTTCATTTATAAATAGGAGTACACAAAAGTCTATGTTGATCTTTTTCCAGTGCGTCTGCGTCTACAGTCCGTCAAACTATAAATCCAGCTTTATTCTGTTCTGTGACTCTACTGACACAGAATAATAAACAATTTTTATTTATTCCTTCTGTGCTACTGAGGTTTGGACGGTTGGTGAATTGGAACACAAAGGAGTAATGTGAGTTTAAAAATAAAAATACAAAAGTTGGTTATTCCTTATTCGCCGTCGGATGGTTGGTCGTGGTTGGTCGAGCCACAGAATAATAAACAATCAGAATGCCCACTTTGCTTGAAAAAAATAAGTACGCGCATACAGAATCAGCCATGTTTTAAACGGAACCAGTGCTGTATAGACATAATATGCACTATTTTATTTGTAGTTTTAGTTGAAGAATAGTTTAATAAATTATTTCAAATGTACTAAATTATTAATCCCTAAAAATTTAAATTACAGTTCTGTAATTTAAATTAAAAACTTCAAACGCGGCATCTGAGAATGGCAATGACCACAGATAAATTACTATTAGACGCTATTAGTCGACTTGACTTCTTACAATAGTACATTCCATAGGTTTAGTAATAATAAATATATTATTATATTAAAAAAAATTGTGGTACATATATATTCTTATTCAGAGTTGATTGAATGCCGCAAGAAATGAGACCACACAATCGAAAGTCAAGTAAACCGGGTTAATTTTTCTATGCACACCACATAAACACCACTGGTTCCCTCTAAAACATGGCGGAACGTCTGCGCGAAGGAGATGCGCGTACTTAATTTTCCATGGAGAGTGGGCATTCTGATTGTTTATTATTCTGTAGATTCGGACAGAGAACTACGAACGCAATTCGGTGTCGAATCCTCCCCCCGAGTCCCGAGAAAACACATGTTGTTAGGTTAGGTTATAAGAAATTTTCAATTTTGAAATTTATGAATTCGTGTGCTTACTGCTTATTTAAAGCACAAAAAATATGGTGGTGTTTACGTGCAATCACTGTGGAGAAAGTTTACGCAAACCTACAGTTGAAAAACATTATAATTTTTGCCGCTCTGCTAAAAATTTAACTTGTGTTGATTGTTTTAAGGACTTTAGGTTAGTTTTACCAAAACATTTTTTACAGAAGAAATTTAAAAAAAAATGAACGATCCATAAGTACTATGATTCCTAACGCTGTAATAGTTTGTATCCCTCCACAGTCTTAAATATGCATTTATTAATTAATTTCGAAGTTAGCATTACAACAAGCCAGGTTTATAAACGGACATAGTACATAATCATAAGTCAATACCTAACCATAATATTTAAGAACTACTTCAGGAAATATAAACCTAACCAAATTTTTATAGATCTTGAAGAATTTTGTTCTGGTCTTTAGATTCATAGAAAAGTGTAATAATTTTAAATAAATATGAAGATTAATAGAAAAGTTGCTTTGGCCATGGCAGCAGTCCCACTTTATTTAACAATTGTAGTGACTATATCTGCCAGAGTTCTTAACAAGCAAAGAAGGTTTAGTGTAAGACCCATAAATAGAAAGCGTGATAAGGAGTGGGATGAGAAACAGTTGAGAAGGTATGAAAGAGCTGGAATGGGATGAGGAACAGTTCTTTAATTTTTTACGTTGGATTACGCAGGCATATATTCCAACAATTCCATAATTGAAGGTCACATTTTAAGGACTAAATTTATGTTTTATGTATTATGGATGCTTTTAAATGGGTACATTTATTTATTAACTTTCAACATTATGCTTATATAATAAGATTATGGTTAAAGACTAAAATTATGTTTATGTCCGTTTATAAATCTAGCTTAAGGGTTTGAGTTACAGGACGGATATACAGTTAGTTCTCCATTTCATGAGTTAAATGTTATTTTCGTGAATTGAGAGTTTTTCAATAATCTAAAGCCTCTGCTTATTTGAAATGAGTACCTTACATAGAACTACAGTAGACTCCCTCTATAATGAGAACTGAAATGGCAGACTAATTACCTCATTATAAGCGCTTGTTATATCCAACAACAATAATACTGTGCATACATATGAATATGTAGTTTTCTAAAACATTAACTTACTATAGTGAAGCCATTTGGAGCAATATAAGATGTTAATAAATATTGTTTGAATGGAGTTTTTGAAAAAAAGTTGTTTACTTCTATTATCAGTGATATAAGTTAGTTAAAACAAAAAATCTATATTCTGTAAATCTGTATAAAGCACATTTTCAAGAATAATATAAACTACTGCTTCTGCAATTGGAAAGATGTGAAACAGTTTTATGCTGCTTCATTTGCGTTTTGTCTTTGGATAAAGTTTCTGTGAACCTTTAAAACACTTTCCACATCTCGTCCATTAGGACCTATATTATTAGGTGTGAATGGTCAACTGCCTACAATGACACTTGTGAATAATAAATTGTAAATTTCCAACTGAAAATCATAAATGGTAAGAAGTTTATTGTGGGCAGCATTTAAAAAGGGTATTTATTTATAGCTACAGCCGGGCACAACGTAAAAAAACACATTTTTCAATCTTATTTTTGTTCTTTATAAGCAAATTTACCTGGCTATAGAGGGTTATGGTTCAATAGAAATTTCACGGGACATCTAATATACCTCGTTATATGTGAAACCTCGTAATAACCATGTTCATTATAGAGGGAGTATACTGTATATCTAATAATGTGTATTTGAAACATGTCTCCTTTCATTATGATTCCCAAAAACAATAACTTGTTAATACCCATGATGTTCTGAGGGACTTACAAGAAGAAAAACAAATATTCTATAAAGTTCATTAACTTAATTATTAATTAATGACTTTGGATTGAGGATGATATGTTGTACTTTTTTCTGTCATAAAATGATACAGCTAAACTGCTAATCCCTCTTTCTGGTACTTTTATTTCATATGGTACTGATAAGACACCCTTAGATATTTTGTGTTTTGTAAAAACTAATTGTAGCAATTTTTAGAGGAGAAGAATATGTAACTCACACAAAATGCATAACAGAAGAGGAGAGGTATTCAAGAAAAGGATCTATACCCAATGGAATAGTAAAAAAAGGTGAATTAAAGCAAGAATCATGGGTGGACATGATAAAATCAATTTTGGAGCAATCAAATTTAAAACCTTCCAACAGAAGCCTATTAAATACCATTTGCAACTACAGTAACATTCCTAGGAAAAAGCCTAAATTTATGGTAAGTTTTGTTTCTACATATTTGAATTTATGATTCATATTTTGAATAGTATGTTACCACTGACATGATTATCAGCTTGATTCAGCCCTTTTAAAAATTTCGGAAATATGTTTTATTTCCTTTCCTTCTTGTATAAACCTGCATATTTGACATTTATATTTTCATGTTTCAGAACTTTATCAAGAGTTCCTCTGGAGGTCGTGTAAATATGAGGGAAGTAGAAGAAGTATGGAATATCATAGAAAGTTATAAAGCTAAAAAAGCAACTAAACAGAATAACACTCAAACTAGTGAAGATATTAAGCCAGAAAATGAAGTAACTAAAAGGAAGGTATGTGAAGACATTGCTAATGAAAACAGTGAACATGAAGTGCCTAAAAAGAAAAAGAAAAAAGAAAAATTATCTAATAATGCAGAAAATGGTGATTTTAATACGAACAGAGAAGATGGAGAGCCAAAAAAGAAAAAGAAGAAGGAAACTTCATTAGCTCATGTAGAAAATGGTGACTCTAATGAGAACACAGAACATGAAGGAACAAAAAAGAAAAAGAAGAAAGAAGCAGCAATAACTCATGTAGAAAATGGTGACTCTAATGAGAACACGGAACATGAAGGAGAAAAAAAGAAAAATAAGAAAAACAAATTATCAATTCAGGTGGAGAATGATAATACAGCACAAGAAAATTTACATGTTGAAGAAGAGACTGGAAATGAAAATTTCAACTACACCAATAAAATATTGAATATTTTAGCAAAGAAAAGAACAATCACCTTACAGAAACTTCAGAAAAAGGTAATCAATGCATATCTTAAACATTCTGGGGAATCAGAAGTAAGCCCAAAGATTATAAAAAAATTCAATAAGAAATTAAAAAAGATTGAAAACATAGAAATTACAGATGATGAGGTTTCTTTGAAAGAAAATAGTTAATAAATAATTTTGTTATACATAAAACAAACATTTAAAACTGCTGTTTTAATTGAAAACATAAGCTTATTTTTTAAATAACTTACAATATCTAATTTTAAGTATATTTACATTGAAATATTGTAAATAAATGACGTGAAAATTTGGAAAACTAGCTTTACATGTTTTGTAAAACGTAATAAATATATGAATAATGTTGTTTTGAATTTGTTTTGATTTTTTAAAAATGGGATCCCCTTAATGTGTGATGTGGCAACCTAAGACACACATATTTTCTTTTACTAAGGAAGTAATATGTACACTATGGATACAATTTTGATATTGGAGTGCATTTGCATCTGTTTCATTGATCCAAAGACCCAAAATTACCACCACTTCGTAAGCCTAGTACTTTCCATAGCTATAAAGCATATACCCCATGGTTTTTAAAAGGAATACATTCCTAGCTGGATGGATAATCAGGTACTGTATGAGAAGTTTGTAGACTCAAGAATTCAGAAATTGGTAACAGCTTACTGAAATCTTCTTATTCACTCAGATTGAATAAATGAAAATCAACTGTAGAGATAGGAACATCTGAATGAGAACACTATCAATGCAAAAAGAATAACACTCTTGGAGGATAAAAGTTTTAATAATGAGAGACAAAAATTATAAAGTTAGCAATTTTCGCCAACATTATGAAACCAATCATCCTCAGTTCTAATCAGTATCCACCAAATTCCCAATTAAAACCAGATAAACTTGCTTCTTTAAAATCAAATTTAAATAAAGTATAGTCAATTTTGATGACCTTCAACAATCAATCTAATGAGTCTGAAGTCAGTTTTGTTATTACCTGGAAAATTGCCCATGCAAAATACTCATATTAAAAGGGAGTGTTAAAAAATTGGAAGATGTACTAAGTTTTAGCAGCATTGCACAAAGTTGTTTGGCGAATCCCAATCTCCAGACACATAACTGCAATTAATACATTAAAATAATTTAAAAAAGATTTGAAGAACTGTATTACATTCAACATTCAACTTAGCCCTTGACGAATCAACAGTTATCACAAATTGGAGTACTCAAGAAGCTTCTCATTGAATGAGATAAATAACTCTAAAGGGGAAAGCAGAAGGTTTTAATGGCATATATTTTGAATTTATAAAGCACAGTGGCCCAAAATACACAATATTGCCTTCTGACATTCAGTAAAAATTCATTTAGTACATTCATCGTCTGCTTGCTTTGTAAATAATAAAAGGCCCAGATTAAAGTAAGAATTTGAATTTTGGTTTTGAACCAGTAGAACTTGTGCGTCTTTAGGAACTTACTTGCTTTGATGGATATTTTTAAGTTTAGCAATCATCAAATTAAACCTAAAATTCCATTTTACAAGACCCAGAAGAGTTTTTAACAATAACTATAGAAACCCAGAGTTTAGCGACAGCTATATGTACATATGCGGTTTAAAACAACATATAAGACATTATGATTTCTTATAATAAATATATATATTTTATTATATATTAAGTACGATTTTTTGTTATAAAAATACTTATTTTAATACTAATAAACTGATTTTTTCAAATTCAGTCGAGATTAGGTATATGGAATAAGGGTTATAAATATCATTTATTTAACTGTTATCGTCATTTTTGTATTCGTAACTGGTATCGTCGGGTCAATTCTGACCCAACATTTTATTCAAGTATAAAAAAATAACTAAATCAAATTGAAGTTTTTAAATACGGTCCGTCCCAAACCCTTTTTTCAGTGCGTCATAGTTGTTCGAATTCTCTCTAACGCATTAAGCTAGAAGTGATAGAAAAAAACGTGAGTCGCTTATTATTATACATAGAAATTAGAAAATTAGGTAGGTATCGTTTACGGGTATTCGCATATTAAAGCGAATTCTACTTACGAACGTATAATTGGTTGGAGTTTAGAATATGCTAAATAGATATCCAATCAATTATGCATATAAATATAATTTGACACAGATGATCTTGATAATGACAGTGACAGTACTTTCACAACAACTGATAAAATGATAATTGCCATTCCAGGTTAGTATTTTCAGACATTTTTACTACAGTGAAAATTAAATTCTGTATTTATTGTCATAAAAATATAAATATTCCGAGATATACCGAGAATGAAAAAAGACTAATATTTAAAATTATTAAATTAGTTTCAATTAGAAAATGAGGCTGAGTTATCTTTACTTCAGTTTCTGTCGCTCGCGAATCAGATTGTGAATTCCGGAATGATATTGAGGAAATATCTTAAACTAATACCTTTATGGATATTTATATGTATTAAAACGGTTCTTTTTAGAACCACGACATTTTCTTGAAATGTAGGATATAATTGATACCAGCCACATATCTAGTGTAATCATTGATTTTCAAGAATCAGATTCTGAATGGGATTATAGATTGTTTGAAATATAATATTCATTTTTGTTATTCATAAAAAAGAAAGTAAACTTACATTCTGTATCTTGTTTTTTAACTAAACTGCTTCAATCAACTGCTTCACTATTTAAACTATTTATATTGTTTTTTTAACTAAACTTTATAACCTTCTTTCATTTGCACACCAAATCTGGTAGAATAACTCAAAAATCAACTGCTTCACTATTTAAACTATTTCCACTATTTAATGACAACTCTTCACAAAATTAAACTATTGGCTGCCACACAAACTTATCAGAAAATTCCTTATCCAAATATGACTGATTTAAATCGATATTATTTTATCGCAGGAATGTTTACTTGGATGCCTTGCAATTGTCAGTAATTTTTTTTACCTTGCACTCTTAAAGCGTTATTTTAAATAAACAAACCTTCCAATTCCCTAGTGTTTGTAATAAATAATAATAAATCCATAAACAAATCTTAGCTAATTAAGCACTTTCCATGGAATGTATAAAATAGAACAGAATAGAATAGAATTATGACAAACTGCTATGCATTAAAAAAAAAATAACCTTTTCACGTTTAGCCGATTACGATCCTGCAACTGTCAGATTTAACTAAAATGTCATGCAATAATTCTCGACATTCTTAAAATCCTATATGACGTCAAAATTAGTGACGCACTGAAAAAAGGGTTTGGGACAAACTGTAGTTATTATTATATCATTATAAAAGAATATTTTGTATACAAAGAGTTGGTTGCAAAAGCTTAACATAAACATGTATTATGCAAAAATAAAAAGGCAGTATATTTTGTATCTAAAAATGTACGGGTTTCGAACAATGCTCTAAAACTAAAAAATAAATTTTGTTGTAAAAATGTTCTTTTGGTTTCAAACTAAGAAAGAGTTATTGTTTTAAAAGGCTTAAGTCTTATTGCTATAAAACTAAAAACAAAAAATGTAGAAGGACATTTTGAGACATATTATTTTTTAATGCAGTTTAAACATTGCAGTAGTTGTGTACTGTGATTTTTACAAATATTATTTTCACAAACAGTTTGGTGTTTATTGTCTTTGCTTGATGGACAAATAAAGTACTTTAGGAAGGAATTATCACCGGAATTTTTCTCTAACTCTTGTTACAGTTAGGCGGCGTTGATATGTGCATTTGCATTATTCACTGATGTTCCCAAAGTGATTACAATACAACAAGCGTCTCTATTCATACCTTGTTACAATTCGTCTTCGATGCTCGCGCATCCATGTAATGTCAAATATTTTATAAGGTTATACCAGATTTGATTTGTTAATATTTTAAAATTACAAGCTACCACAGCTACTTAATGATTTCATTCGTTTAAATCAGAGTCAGAACGATAATGATAGAAAGTATGCGATTAAAAATATTGCCTAGATTTTACTTGAAAAGTTCAATTGCGATTTCCGCAAGTGGTGTGGTCCTTAAGTAATTGTACAAAAAGTAGCTCTAGATTCTCCTCTTTAAAATATTACGATTTAAGCCAAATTGCTTTAATAAAATGTTGATATTAAGAAAGATACAAGTAAAAATTTATAATTTTAATTTTTGCTATAACTTTCATGTTTGTGAACATTTATGTATCACAATTTATAACTGGGCACTATTAAATATCAGAAATTATAATTTGATGCATATTTTAATGTAGCTGATACAGGGCGCCACATATGTTGCATATATTTGCACTTAACTTTTTTGATCTTTAAGTTACCGGTGTTTGTGATAAAAAATATTAAAGATACATTATTTTAACAAAAAAAAAAGTATACTTGGTAATAACTTCAACACTCAACAGTTTTCGAGATAATCGCATTTTACACATCAACTACATAATTCAGATTTAACCTAATTACTCCAGGCAACGAAAGAAAATTAGACAAAAACATCAATACTTCTGAATTTTCGTGTAAAATGCCTTTAATACAGTTAATAGTTAACGAAATATTAAATAAAATAAATATATCAGAAAGAGAGTAGTTAACAGTGGCGGCTCGTGACATCTGCTATAGGGTGTGCTGCATGAACCACGGTCAATATAAAATAATAGAAATAGAATAACATACGAAAACAAAAACAATAAAATTAGCTTTAATACTAATTAATAGTAACTAATAACGACATGCTATAAAAATCTGATTAACTTACATTTATTGCATTTTTCTAAATTGGAAATTAATACGCCGGTCCTTTTTTGTCGCAAACTTTTCGATTACTTTATCGTTAAAGTTCGGTATTGAAGCGATGAACTTTTTTTCTATCGAGAGTGTGGAAAGGGCTGTTAATCTGTCTTCGCACATTGAATTTCTTAAAAATGTTTTGATCCGTTTTAAAGTTGAAAAACTACGTTCAGCTTCTGCTGTGGTCATTGGCGTAGTCACCAGAATTTGTATCAACTTTTTGGTTTCTGTTAATGTGTCCTCTAAATTATTAGAAATTATAAATTTTAGTAAAGGCACTGCACCTTTTAATGTTCTACACTCGATATTGGAATACAAAACTGACAGTTCTGTTCGCAAACGGTTTTTATCAAAGAAGTTATAAGCTGTACAAGTTAAATCCAATTCATTTTCAGGAAACTTATTATTATATTTTTCGAAATGTTCTGAAGATAAAAGTGTTGCGGCAACTAGATGATTTGTATATGCAAACCGTTCTTTTGCATTGTTTATAACATCACAAACTTCTAGACAGGCAATACGGTGATCCTGTTGGCTGTTATTTGGGCGTTTCCTTTTTTGGACACTAGGCGCCGCATTTAAATTTGAAGCTTGATGTATGATAGGGTCTATTTTATTTCGGACATTGTTAATACTTTGCTCAAAAACATGTATAGCTTTCTGTGCTTCGGTTGGGTCCATGTTCTTTTTTTGAAGATTATTGTACAAAACGTCAACATGTGGCATAATATAATGAAAAACAGTCAGCCAGAAAGTAAAATTTTGATCTTCCAGAATACGTCTAAGTCCTCTTGCTTCCTTGGAAGTAATAGCATTTGACTCTTCTTCTAGTTGCTCCATACACTCAATAATAAAGTCTCTATATTCGTAAACGACATTTACTGTACGAATATTGAAATTCCAGCGTGTAGGGATTGAACGAGGAATATTTTTTCCAACTATTTGATTTAAGACAGCTATTCTTTGAGGTGAATGACTAAAAAATCCAGGTATATCATGTAAATCTCCAATTCACTAAACCACGAAAAATTCCAGGGTTATCTGATGTTTCAGATTCATCGTGTCCTCGTAAGGCGAGCTCAAAAGCCCCACAGAATTTTATACAGTCAATTATTTTTGACAAAACATACCTGTTTTTCGTCACCTCTTCATTGTGTTTTTGTATATTTATCCAATAAGCAGAGTCAAGTTGGGCCTGTATATTAAGTTTCCCAAATAATGCAAATCGCATTTCATTGTTCATATGAGTTTGCGTGTTTTCATGCTTCTTTATTTTTTCACTTAAATGCACTAGATCCCGCACTCCTGTCTCGCGCCACAATTTTTCCTCTTTATCTGCGCCGAATAATGCACACGGAAAACAGAAAAAAGCATTTTTTTCGGAACATCCACAAATCCACTGATTTCGTAGATACATGTCTTTATTAAATTTACGCGTATATGTTTTTCCACGGCTTTTACCGGACACTTCAATATTAAGATCAGGCATAGGACGGCCACGTTCTTTTATAATCAACTGTTGTTGATAGTGAAGTTTTTGAAATTTATTTACACCTAATTTAAATTGAAACTCCATTGTTTTAAACACGCTCGAACAAAACAAATTAAACAAAATTGTAACCTAAGAATTTCTAAACACGGCACAGATGCAACGGTCACGAATAACTGTCGTGAATTGCAGCTCGCAAACACATTTCCGAGGCCGTTAATCAGCCGATTGCCGAAGCACATCGGCTAAGATCGCCGTTTGCCTAATAAATGCATTTTACCGCTGCCAGTGTTTCGGTTGTTATCGACGCGGCTTCACTGGAGCAGCAAATACGTAAAAAGATTGCTTCACTGGAGCACCAAATACGTAAAAAAATTATACGGTTTCACTAGAGGAGTAAATACGTAAAAAAAATAATATTAATCATCGTTGTTGGTGAATTATTATTAACAGTTTATGTTTAATATGATAATATGGCAGATTTGAAATAAAACTATATTAATTATTCTTTAATAATTAAGATTTGCTATGGTTGTTTGGTAGTTCTGCAGCTCAGCAGCACATAAAGAAAAGCCGCCACTGGTAGTTAATAGTAGGATTTGACAAAATAACAGAATAGTCGGATTTTACATCAAATATTTTACGTTTTGTATTAAGTTAAAGTCATAATCAAAATATTTTAATTACAAACCAAATTGAGAAATAGTTAAACTAAATAACATTAAACTTTTTGTCGAAGTAAGTTCTTCATTTGTCAATACATTCCATAAAAGAACGTCTCAACTAAACTCTTAACTTTACTTTAACAATAAATTTGTTTATTAAAATTAAACTTTAACAATAAATTTTATTTACAATAATTACAAAACACAAAAACGAATTAAATCATATATCAGAAGTATCAGAACCTTATCTAGGAATAAATCCTATGAATATGAACAACAAACCTCTGACAGGCATAACCTAGTAAAATATTTAATATTGATATTACATGCATGATACTATGAATAACAAGATAGGATCTTCCCGTAGCTCAAAATCGGTCGGGTTCGCGCATGCCGTCATTGGAGACTAGAATTTGAATTCTTGTTAAAGTTAAATGAGATTTGTATGCATTCTGTGATGAAATTACTAGACGAAAATAAGTTAAGAGGTTTAGTAATTACAATAATCGTACACATAAGGATATCTCCAAACTATTTATTAAAGATTATTTAATGATATATACAAAAACTGACATTTCGAACGTGCAAGTCTCCAATGACGTCACAAAAACATGCGCAATATCTTATAGTAATAGTATCATGATTACATGGATGCGCGAGCATCGAAGACGAATTGTAACAAGGTATGAATAGACGCTTGTCAATTACAAATTGTCTCTGTGTCATGTCACTGTCAGTACCAGTTTGAAAAAAGATAAACGAATTTACAGAGGCAATATTCATAATAACATACCACATCGGACATGGCCATCTTGTTCTTCTACCAGTATCACATGTTGAGCATTACTATTCCAGACTACAGTTTGTCCCAAACCCTTTTTTCAGTGCGTCACTAATTTTGACGTCATATAGGATTTTAAGAATGTCGAGAATTATTGCATGACATTTTAGTTAAATCTGACAGTTGCAGGATCGTAATCGGCTAAACGTGAAAAGGTTATTTTTTTTTTAATGCATAGCAGTTTGTCATAATTCTATTCTATTCTGTTCTATTTTATACATTCCATGGAAAGTGCTTAATTAGCTAAGATTTGTTTATGGATTTATTATTATTTATTACAAACACTAGGGAATTGGAAGGTTTGTTTATTTAAAATAACGCTTTAAGAGTGCAAGGTAAAAAAAATTACTGACAATTGCAAGGCATCCAAGTAAACATTCCTGCGATAAAATAATATCGATTTAAATCAGTCATATTTGGATAAGGAATTTTCTGATAAGTTTGTGTGGCAGCCAATAGTTTAATTTTGTGAAGAGTTGTCATTAAATAGTGGAAATAGTTTAAATAGTGAAGCAGTTGATTTTTGAGTTATTCTACCAGATTTGGTGTGCAAATGAAAGAAGGTTATAAAGTTTAGTTAAAAAAACAATATAAATAGTTTAAATAGTGAAGCAGTTGATTGAAGCAGTTTAGTTAAAAAACAAGATACAGAATGTAAGTTTACTTTCTTTTTTATGAATAACAAAAATGAATATTATATTTCAAACAATCTATAATCCCATTCAGAATCTGATTCTTGAAAATCAATGATTACACTAGATATGTGGCTGGTATCAATTATATCCTACATTTCAAGAAAATGTCGTGGTTCTAAAAAGAACCGTTTTAATACATATAAATATCCATAAAGGTATTAGTTTAAGATATTTCCTCAATATCATTCCGGAATTCACAATCTGATTCGCGAGCGACAGAAACTGAAGTAAAGATAACTCAGCCTCATTTTCTAATTGAAACTAATTTAATAATTTTAATATTAGTCTTTTTTCATTCTCGGTATATCTCGGAATATTTATATTTTTATGACAATAAATACAGAATTTAATTTTCACTGTAGTAAAAATGTCTGAAAATACTAACCTGGAATGGCAATTATCATTTTATCAGTTGTTGTGAAAGTACTGTCACTGTCATTATCAAGATCATCTGTGTCAAATTATATTTATATGCATAATTGATTGGATATCTATTTAGCATATTCTAAACTCCAACCAATTATACGTTCGTAAGTAGAATTCGCTTTAATATGCGAATACCCGTAAACGATACCTACCTAATTTTCTAATTTCTATGTATAATAATAAGCGACTCACGTTTTTTTCTATCACTTCTAGCTTAATGCGTTAGAGAGAATTCGAACAACTATGACGCACTGAAAAAAGGGTTTGGGACGGACCGTATATACCCCAGATTTAGTAACTGTAAAAAACATTATATCA